CTGCCTCACTCTCCCTCTCTCCCTCTCTTTCTTGAACTCTCTTAGTCCCTACTACTATGAGGATCTTAACCCTGGATACATCCGCCTCCTAAACATACCCTACTACTACTACTACTGAGCGGCTATGGCCACCTGTCTTCCACAGCACAGCGCAGCCCAGCAGGGCTCCTCAGCGCTCAGCCACTCGCAATAGCGCGCAAGCACCAGCAGCGCTTGCACCCTCTTGCAAATGAGCAATCTGTTTGAATGAGGCCGGGCTGGTCTTCTTATTGACTTCGACTCAGCCTGGACTTCACTTGGCCTGGGCCTGATTTGACTTGGTACCAGTCGGCCGCGGCCTGTTTGCTTTGGAATATTGGGGCCCGGTACCTTCCAGACTTTTCTTCGAGCGCTGCTGCATTTTGACTGTGGGACTGCACTTGAGGGTCGGGTAGTACGGGTACCAGTCAAATTTTGACCTTTGTGGCCTGAGAGTATCCGACTTGACACTATTCTGTTTCTGGCCGTCCGGGCCTTTCCCTGACTTGCGGACCTTGACCCTGAGACTCAAATTTTTGGGGTTTGTCAAGGTGAAAAAGGCTTTCAGTAAACTTTGGGGTCTGCAAGGTGAAAAAGCATTTCAATAAACTTAAAGAGTAGAAAACACAACTCGTACCTCAAAAACAAATGCCTCCTCAGGCTTTAACCCAAAATACTCCAGCGCCTGCTGATAAGGATCAGGAAAAGGCTTGGGACGCTTGCACTCGCAACCGATTACCACTGCAAGACAAATCGCAAATCTATTTAGTCCACAGACTCCACACAAATCATTGGAATCACCACATTGACAGAATACTAATTAAGTAAAAATTTTAATTTATTAAATAATAATAGTGAAGTACCAAAGAGGAAAACAGGCACATAAAATAGGACAAAAGTTAGCTGTGAATGCGGAATTGTGAGCATGAATGGGATCTCAAGATGTGGAAATGGGGGGTTTCATCAAAGGCCACACACGTAGCATGTAGTACAAGTACTAAAAATAAACCAATCGCAAACTACCAATTACCTGCCATGACCATTACTAAGCTACATATAATTAAAAAGAAAATCAAAAAATTTTCAAAAAAGAGCAACCATGGAGAGAGGGTGAAATGTTACTTCGTAGTGATTGTAACCAGTGTTGACAAATAATAATAATAGATAATAAGAGTAATAGATATAAACTAGAATAGTAAATACTATACAGCATAAAATAATTAAAATAATAGTATAAAGACTATTAAAGACTAATAAAGTATAAATTCCTAAGAGAGGCTGGTGAGGGCATACTCACACTACGACTTTCTCACATGAATGTGAATTGCAGCCAGATCCAGTCAAAAAAGTCCTAGTGTGAGCATGCATGCCCTTAGACAGTCATAGATCACTCTTGACTGTCGACTGATTGGTAGCTTAGCTGTCTAATGGCGTTTGAAGTCTCAATTAGCAAGCAATTGAAACCATCCACAATGGCTATTCTGGAACAGCACTGGGGTATGCAAATAAATTGAATGTGCTCATGATTGCGGCCAGATTCAGTCAAAAAAGTCCTAGATTGGAAAAAAGCTTACACCACTAACGTGTCTATTGACCAAGTAATAAATCGCCCCAATCCAGTTAGTCCTAAACAGAAGTGTGTTTGCTAGACTGGTTTCAGCAGCCAGTATAGTTTATTACCCCTTTTTTAAGGTGACGCGCTATGGCTTTTTCCAGCAGTTTGGCATTTTGTAGACTGAATTCTTCAGGGATTACCAGGTTTCCAGGAAAAGAAAACTTGATATTCCTTCTTTTTTCCTTTTCGTTTTGGGAGCTGGCTGGTGGCGCAGTGCTGCCGGCCCGACACGGGAACCAGGCGGTTCTGGAAGCCACCGTACGTTGAAGCTCGCACAGCGGATTGAGTGTTTTTGAAGAAGTAGCGATGGTGGCGCTCGAGGGCTTCACTGGGTGTCGGACCTTGGGGTAGCGGAGTGAGCGGTTTTTGAGGAAGGTGGTGATGGGGGTGCGTGAGGGTTTCTGTTACAATGTGACCCTCTCCTCTCTTCTTCAACTTGGCTGTCCTACATGGCGGATGGGCGACTCTTCCAATGACTTGGATCCCCTATGGTGAACTCGTCAACGGGCTTGATGAGGTGCGGCCATGCCATCTATCAGCTTGCTGTGTCAAGGATGGTCATTGGTGCATTCGTGCTGGCACTGATGTTGTGGAGGGCGGTTGATGCCGGGTAGCTAGCGGATGGGGGGACGCTTGGAGTTTCTTCCCCGAAGGCGGTGGGGTTGGGTCTGGGCAATGGAAGGAGGGTTGAAGAAGGGACGGTGGAGGTTTTTTTGACATGTTTGCTCCTGTGCTCTGCTCCTCTCAGATTACACAAGTACCTGTGATCATGCTACTGTGGTGACTGCTGATCTTTCAAGAAGCTCTGTGTTTTCGTTGGATTGGCATCTCGGTGCACCTCAAGATAAGGGAATGACGAGGCTTGGGGAGGATCACGTTCATGAGCAGGTAATCGACCAGGAGTTGTCAAAGCATGTTGTTTCAGGATGGTTGGTTATGTCGCGGCAAGGCATAAAGTGGTGTGAGCACACACAGCTTTCAACGCTGATCTGTTAGGCTTCTACAGGCTTCTATTCATGAACGCGAGTGAAATCGTTCCCCTGTGCTGGTGTGTTTCGTTGTTGTTGGAGGAGGGTGCAGGGTTAGGAACCTCATTTACGGGGAGAACAAGGTGCTCTCACGTAGGTTTTTTTGATGTCCTCTCCGTGTTGGCAGTCCCTTTTTATTTCCGGGTCTTCTGAAACTGTCATATATCCCTAGTCTCCCGCCCTAGTCGTTTTTGTTAGTGCTCCTACTTCGCTCCAAAAATACTTCTCCTATTCTCGAATCTAAAATAGTCGGTATTATTATTTTCCAAAATAATCCCTGATTACGATCATCATCTAAATTCCTATCATTTTCCTCCAAGAAATCTCTACTACTTCCACACAAAATTCTAAGTGTATGCTTAATTCTGAAATTCCGATGCGGATTTGAAGCGAGTCGTTTTGACATCTTAATTCGTGACCCCTAATTTTGATCTAAATTTTGATGGTCAAACTTCAGCTACCCAAATACCCAACTAGCATTTCTTAAATCGTTTCTGACTTTCTTTTTCCATCTCCCAATTTCAATCTCATGGAATTTCTTTGCTTGTCTGATTGAGCTGAAAGGATTTCATGCAGCAGACCCCTGAAAGCCGGCACCAAGCCCCCAAAGTCCAGAAAGGTTCTAAAGTCCCAAGTCCCAGCGTCAAGTGGGGTAGGTTCGATAGGCCAGTTGAAGCGTCGTAGGCATAAGTCAGGAAACATCTGGAAAAGTCAAGTCGCGGTACAGCCTGCCTGGTACCCAACAGAAAAAGTATGGAAGGCTGAGTCATTGCGTAGCCAGTCCAGTACCGCACACAAGGGTCCGGAAGGTCCAGGTCCAGTCCTCAAGTCCAAAAAAAACGCAGCAAGTCCCAGGAAAGTCCAGGAAGCTTCTGGACCAACAAAATGATAGCAACAGACAGACCACACCTGACCAGTACCGGTCTGAGGCAGGCCAAGCCAAGTCCAATTCCTATATTTAGCTGCTACAGTGCAGCAGCAGACACAGTTGTTCATTTGTGACGCTGAGGAAGCGCTGCTAATGCTTGTGTGACACAGTGACTTGGGCAAGACAATGCTCGAAGAGGAAGGGAGGGCCGATGACAGCCATAGCTAGGGTAGTGATAGCGAAGCAGGGCGGCCATAGCCGCCAAGATTGGAGTCTGATCTGAGCGGGTGCATTCAGGGCACGGTCCACGGAAGAGAGAGAGACTGTGAGGTTGAGTGATACAAGAGCCGAGAGAGAGAGAGAGAGAGAGAGAGAGAGAGAGAGAGAGAGAGAGAGAGAGAGAGAGAGAGAGAGAGAGAGAGAGAGAGAGAGAGAGAGAGAGAGAGAGAGAGAGAGAGAGAGAGAGCAGAGAGCAGAGAGAGAGGCAGAAGAGCGATGGCAGGTTACAAACCTGGTCCGAGCCTGAGACAGTGTGAGCGGCAGAGACCACGGGAGACATGAAATCTTTCTTTGTATAATAAAAATATTTTGCGTATCAAATCTTTCGTGTGATTCTTGTGTCTCGGCTACCTGTTTCAAGTGTGAACACTCATCTGGATGCTCGTTGCACGTGTGTGCGAGGTTGAGGGTGATTGACTTGCGACTCATTGCACTGGTATCGGAGCTGGATCCCGCTACATCGCTTGGAGAAGCAGCGCTGGCAAGGGATAAGGCAGGCGGGCAAAAAGAAAAAAGGGGCGGATCCATTTTTGTTTTGTCTCGATACCTTCCCTGAACTTTCCTGGAGACCTCTGTTGCAATCAGTCATTTCTGTTGATGTCAACTGGTTGCACGTCGTCTTTGCTGCTTGAGTCTTTGAGTCTGTCTTACGTGTTGAGGATGCATGTTGACTGAACCCATTAGCTGGATGAATCACCCGTAAAGTAGGCAACGTGGGCATGAGCGGTGGGCCCTCGTAAAACAACCTGGCCAGCCCAATGACCAGTACTGACCGGCACAGCCCTGAACCGGAGTTGACGCAGTGAAGGGAGTAGGTTGATAGGCAGATGCTCAGCAGCTGGATGTATCACCCGAGAGTAGGGAGCATGGGCATGTGCGGTGGGCGCTCGTAAAACAACCCGTCTATCCCTAAGACTGGTACTTGACGAATCGGTGCTGACACAGTGAGGGACTTCAAGTCTTGAGAACGAACCTGCATCTGGTGGCCGCGATGTCCTGTTTGCATTGTTAAATCATTCCTGAGGTCCTTGATGGCAGACTTTAAACAGCTGGTTGGCGACCAGCTCTCCAGGGGAGTGTAGTGACGGATGTGGGGAATGGAAGTAGAGTTGTATACCCCGATCTAGGTTAGGATTAGTGTTAAGTTTTGAGGAAAGTAAGTCTTGAGGGTTAGGTCTACGTGATGAGCAGGTGGAGTCTACCTACTGTGCCCGGACCTCACCATGGATGACTATCCTATGCTCAGTTTCTTGACCCTCAGTGTGATTTGGGGTCCCTCCTTCGCCTGCTCTTCCCCATAGGATTCCCCCATGCCTTCGCATTAGGCGTGGTGTCTAGGTCCGGTAGGTCCACGCAGCTGTATTCCCCGGAGGAGCAAGCTAAAATTGATGCGAAGCTGAAGTAGCAGAAGGAGTGGAGGCGGAGAAGTTGAAAAAGGAGGAGGAGGAGATGAAAAAGAAGATGGAAGAGGAGAAAAAGCAATTGGAAGAGGAGCAGAAAAGGATAGAAGAAAGGATACAAAAGGAGATGGAAGAAGAGGCAAGGGAGATCGTGGAGGAAGAAGAAACTGAAGTGTTGGAGGAAGAAGACGAGAAGAGAGAAGGGGTTGAACAGCCAGACAAAGGAGAGAGCAGCCAGCAAGAGGAGGCATGTGACTGGCTGGCCAGGTTCGGGTTTTCAAAGGAGAGGCCACCAGACAAAACTGAAGAAGAACTGAAAGTATTTTGGGCCAAATTGTAGACTGCTGGCGCTCGAGAAAGAGCCCTCTTGATTGAGGAACGGGAGAGTGCCATTACTGCTAGGCTGATGGCGCAGAAGAGGAGAGAGTTCGAGGAGGAAAAGAAGTTAACGGAGGAGGGAGAGGCGATCCGGCAGAAGTTGAAGGAGAAATTGAAGTCAAAGCCCAGTTAGGCCTCCTCACCGAAGCAGTCCACTCCGCCCAGGAGAACGC